CCACCTTCCTCCTCCCTATATAGAGGCGCATCTGCGAGAAGAAAAAACTTTTGCGTGAGGCGTGAGAATCGCCGGGAAAGGCGTAGGCCGAGCAGCCAGGTGAACTTCGCGCGTGGAGCAAAAGGAAGGTGCGGGGCGGAGGGGAACAAAGGAACTCCACCTGCGCCGCTCTGCGTGTCTTGCATGGCGCCGCCGCAGCGCGTTCAGTTCAGATAACTTGGCATCGACTCGTTATCAAGCTGCGGACGCAGATGAATTCGGAATGATTGTCCACAAATTCGTCATCGGGTCCATCAAATATTGACCGCGTCCAGCCAGAGCAGGCCCGGGGGGAAAGGTCTCCGTATCGGGTGTGTCCAGCAGGCACTTTTACCACCCACCACAGAATACGCAGAACTTTCCCCGCAAACGAGTTTTATGTCAATTGTATTCGCGAGAAAGCCACTGTGTTCTTAACCAAACGTAGAGCGTGACAATAAGGCTGTCGTCCCTGGCGCAAGCACACGTCCAGGAAGGAGCGATTCAATAAAATGTGTACACCATGGCGTGGCGGGGCGGGGCGGGGGATATTGACTATAAAACAACGGGGGGCCGGCGGGTCTGATGGAGTCTAATAACTGTCGTCCTGCTCCGGACGCTGCGCCGAAGAGGAGCCTCGGGGATTTCCTTTCCTCTCCTCCGCCCGGCCCGCGCACAGCCGCGCGCTACGCGCTGCGCTAGGCCGCCCCGCGCGCCACTCTGATGTAATTCGCTCACTCCTTTCTGCTTGTTGTCGCGGTGCGTCGCCTTATCTCTTTGAATCTCTCGTTCTCTCCCTCTCCCTCGTCCTCTGTCTGTCTGTCTGTCTGTCTGTAAGTCATAGCGCCTGATAGGTAGGCAGCACCCAGTATGCATTGCATGTATGTACTGCGGGGTGGCCGACCCCGCACCACGCAGGCGCTGACCACTCGTCATTTACCGAATTTTTTTTTCCGAGAAAAAAACGGGCGTACGTTCTGGACGATCCATATGGACGCCATGCAAAGTGTCGAGGAGGATGCGTGTAAAGACACACGAGGAGGCTGCTGGTCCCTTCCGGGCCACCCGGCCGTAGCATCATACTCCTCCTGCGCACACCTGCGGCTCGAGCTTCCGTCACGGTGCGGTGCGGTGTGCTCGTCGAGCGGTCCCCTGTCCTTTACTGATCGCCGTCTCTCTTCTCCTCCGCAGGTGCTGACGGCGCTCTCGGCGGCGGCCATGGCCCGACCCGGCCACAGCGGCGGTGGCCACGGCGGCGGTGGTGGCGGCGGGTCCTTCGGCGGGTCCTCCTTCGGCTCCTCAGGGTTCGGAGGCGGCGTGCAGCTGGACTCGTACGCCGCGCCCATCGGCAACGGTGGCGGCGGCGGCGGCGGCTCGTCCTTCGGCGGCTCGTACGGCGCGCCCGCGCCCCAGTACGGCCCGCCCTCACAGGCGCCCGTCGTCCACAAGCACGTCTACGTCCACGTGCCGCCCCCAGAACCAGCTTCCTACCCCGCCAGGTAAGCCAACTTTGCTTCGGAGCTCCGTCAACACTGGAACGAGCGACTTGGGTCCAGTCGCCGTCCGAGGGGGGGGGGGGGAATGTTCGAGAAATGAAATGGGAAATCATTTATTGAGAGCATCGCGCTTCCGCGCCGTAAGTCTGCGGCGACTGTCCCGCAGCTCATGTGCGGCCAAGAGAACGCGGCGCTATGGGAGATCCGTCACGCCTTGCGCTCCTGCATATCGGCCGCGCCGCGTCTCTACCGTTGGATAATCGGATAATCGGTCCCCCCCGACGTGCCCCCCGCCTCCCACTCGCTCGCCCCCTAATAACACGCATCTCGGCCCCGCCGCCGCGGAGTGAGCCATTTAGCCGGCGCACACACTGGAGCACGCCCCGAGTGCAGTGTAGAAGGTAATCAGCGCGCG